TCAAAATGCCTGCTGTGAAAAAGGTCTATCACTGTAGGCCACAACGAGCCACAGCCATTGGACAGACAACATCTGGTGGTAGAGAAGAACAAACAAGGAATCTCCATGAGTGTGTGGGTCCTAGCAGGTTATATTATAATGCAGGGGTACACAATTATGGCAAAATAAAACAAGAGATATATACAAAATAAAATCATACTGAATTTGATCGTGTAAAACAAGTTATAAAACCTGAAGCTTGAGGTGGTATGAGGTTATTTTAACAAATAAGTACTTTTCCTCACACAAGGGGCTTGCCATACCAATTTCATTATTGACGTATGAATAACAATGTATTGCACATGGGAAATCACTGTTGAAACAATTATTGCATATTAAATTATTAGTAAACAATATATAATCTTACACCGATAAACCATTAGTCAAAAAGTAATCATATTTAATATCTTTAATTACCTTATACATTTAGTCAGTTATAACAGAAAACACCAAAGATTTGTTGGTTGTTGCTTTAAACAGGGACTAAACCTCAGTCAACGTAAGAAATAGGCTAGTCCAGGGTTTAAAAGAACTGACCAATGTCTTGCTCAGGCTTAAATTACCCTTAGCAAACATTTAGACAGGTAACAATAAAAGCAATTCATCATTAAAACCAGCTCACATCACGCAGTCTCAACTATCTTCTTTCCTAATATAATCTGTGTTTATGTTCTATGTGTAATTTAAACCAGCAGAACTTTTGACCTATTTTTTTGACAGATATCATATGATTTAGTATTAGCAAGTTCTCTCCTTCAAATATCTGCAAGACTGCAACTTCAGATCTCATCATTTTCAAAGCTGTTGTATTGGCCAGCTTTATCCAGAATTGATTCTTGATTTGTGATTCTAAACAATTAAAATAAATACAGATGAAATAAAATGAAAAAAGGAGATAGGTGCTATTATTTGGGTCTTACCCAATGTGCCAAAAAACAATTGATTCCTGTCCATTGCCCACTGAGCTGCCAATGAATCTTAAGACAGTTTAACTAACTGGTTGTGACGAGCACCAGAGCCAAGTACTTCACATACTGCTACCCAGCAGTATGCTACAGCAGTACAGTATGTGATCATTTTGGGTTATATTTTGATGCAAATACTTTTGTAATGTATAATTTTTATTTATAACCCAGTAATAACATGCTATGGTACTGCTACTTTTACTTCAGTAAATCTGAGTACTTCTATTACCACCGGTTTTTGGTAGCTAGCATGTATTGTAAAGGGGAGGGGTGCTAGAACAAAGCAGAGCGCTTGGTTGTGTTGTTGTTGTTAGCATTACGTCTGCAGCACTGGAGAACAGCATCTGTGCTGCAAAGTTACTACCAGAGAAAGCCAGTATTATCCAAAACAGTCATGGGTCTGTAGCAACGTTTCTTTACCTCAACAGTTTGATTAAAGTGCTGCAGTGTGTGTTGCTGAGCTGATCTCATTTGTGAATAAGTCTGCGTTCAGACTGAGTGCAGTAAAACCCAACTCCTAGCTGTGTATTTACGCAACAAGGTGCAAGTGGTTCGAGAGGTTGCAGAAGTGTTGCAGAAAGTACGATATGGCCTTGTTGTGACGAGTCCACATAAGTGGCTTCATTCATGTTTCCAGCCTGGGATTTCCATTGTGTTTTGGTTAGCTATGCCACTAACGTAGCCTACTCTACCCTAGCACCAATTTCTAAGACCAGTGTGTCAGCATTGACAGATACAAACACAATTTAACATCCACTACCCTAACGAATGACACATGGCCTGTCACATTTGTAACTGTGGTTCAAATTCAAAAGTGAATAGCAGTGTAGCCCTAATTTGACAGTGAACAGTAGTGAATGCTCATGCTAACAAGGTCCGAGTTGTTCCCTGTACATGACTGGTCAAGGCGGCACCTTTGCCCGATTATATCACTGTCCGGTGGAGAAAACGGAGAACCAGATCCAACTTTTTTCACTGCACAGAGCTGTGGTGTTTTTCTGAAGCTCCCTGGGGTGCTGACCACTATGAATGCAATCCCCCATAGGACTAAATAGAGAGAGCTGAGTTTTTTCCCCAAACATTTGACATTCAGTCTGAACACGAGCTAAGTTCGCTTCTCCGCTAATGCTAAAGTCAGTCTGTTGGTGGTGGGCTACGAAGTAATTACACCGTCTTCCACACTTGTCTTTCAAAGCTCATTAACACACACAAAAAATAATTTCCTTTTCTTAAGATGAACCAATGTTACAGCATAAGCCAACTCTTGTATGTGTGCGCTGGATGCTATCTGTGTGCTGCACTGCCCTTGTGGTTGTGTTCCACCTTTTTTGTTCCATCAATATTGTAATAAAAATCAATACTTAGCATTTGTGAATCGATTCCGAATTGCAGAAGATATGAACTGATTTTTTCCCCTTCTACCACTAATATATGTTATCCATAAAAAAAACACTTCTCAGGAAGATTTACATTAAGAACAAGGGAGCCAGTTAGGTTTGTGCTTGGCAAATTAGGGTTATCTGATTGGATCCAAACACTCCCCACCCAAAATAGTATATCCCACAGCAACAGCATAGAAAAGGTTGTTTTGCTCAACAGCTGTATGTCCATCCTTCCAGCCTTCCATGATCATAGGGCCTACGCTGTCACAGATAAATGCATTTGTCAATTTTCAACATAAAAAAAAATTTGTACTATATGTATAAGCATATGTGGTACTGTTGCTTGTAGAAGTGCTCCAGTACACTAAATGAGGGTACGGAACTTTTTTTACATTTATAAGCAAGTGCTCCAGTACACTAAATGAGGGTACAAAACTTTTTTTTACATTTATAAGCTGTTGTAATCAAGGCACAAATTTTGTGACAGCCATACGGCCATGGCTGCTACTGCCTTTGTATTTGGCCACGAAACCCTCTACATTTGTCAGAGTTACACGGCTACAGTGGTCAGTGTTCCGTCAACAGATGGGATGGATCTCTTAACTACTCAGTAAATGATCGCCAAGTCATTCATTTGTTCATGTTCAGTCATATTGTGTTTCATGGATGTATCAAGAATAACAGTGCACTTATTGAAGATGTTCCCCCAGGAACCCTCCTCATATATGTTGTAGAATTCACAGTGCATGGTAACAAAAATATTTTTGTGAAGTCTTGGCCTCTGAAAATGTACAAAATTAAAGGCCATTTGGAGTTCCCCTTCTAATTGCAAAATATAAGGCCTGGTTGTAATGCTACTGGCCACTTACTGACCACCTAGAAAACTCTGAACAGAGAAAATCTCACAGTGTGTCTACTGTGGGGTGAACAAAATAACATGCACACCTGTACAACCAAGGTGATTGATCATCGGTTTTGGCTCTGAAACCCCTTTATCCATCCTGTATATGTATATGCATATGCATACATATACACCATATACTCCACAAAAAAGCAGTTTGAAAGATGTCATGTTATAGAAAACATAACTGATGTTATTAGAGATTTTTAAAGATTTTTCCAGGGTTGTAGTATAGAAAGATGTTTTAAAGATAATTAAATGTCGCTGGAACTTGTTAATGCAAATATCATCTATACATACTGTATTTTAGATTGCTGAGGATCCCTTGGAAACACACAAAAAAACCCAGCCCAAAATTAAAAACAACAACAACAACAACAACCAAACACTGCTACTAAACAGGTTAGATGCTTCACAAAGTATTTTAGGCTCATGCATGTAACCAAGCCTACTACTTGGCTGCAGCTCTCTTTAGCACATGGTACTAGAAATAAACATCAACAGCAGGCAAAACATGAACCTGTTTCACAACAACACTGAAGTAAGCATGCAGCCCACCACAGTGATCATATAAAATAAAAACACATATCATTCTTATGAGTATTTTATCCTTGTCAAACCTAACTTGGTCATTAACATTTACCATAATAATTTGTATTGCTTTATTTTAGTGTTCTGTAGGGGGAAAACAGCAACAAAACATCTGTCATAAAAATGTGTTGCAAATTGTTGCTGGCCCGTGATTTTGATTTAGCTCCTTGTATTAATTCCTTATCCTAATACATTTTTCACTCCACCTCTGATGACAGTGGTTCACTTTGTAACTTTCTTTCTGACACTGGTGTTAAATCATTATAATACGGCAGCGTTAGAAATGAACCTGCTGCCAATCTGCAAGCTAACAGCACAGGCCCCCTTATCAGGACAGCTAGCTAACAGGAACATATGACAACATTAGCTATTGCTCCATTAACTTTTCACATACTGACCTAGACGAAAGAAAAACCATCCTGTTTATTTAAAATGCATAATAGAATAAGCAACAGGCAGTCCAATATATCACATACTGACCTAGACGAAAGAAAAAACATCCTATTTATTTAAAATGCATAACAGAATAAGCAACAGGCAGTCCAATATGTGTCACAGAAATAACTCTTCTAACGTTACGCCGTCTCAGCGAATATTGGAGGATTTAGTTTGTCGCTTTGGCCTTCTTTGACAAGAAGCTTAACTAATGTAGACGGCGACGATGCATCCGCCCAAAATACCTTGATACAACTATCTGTCGCAAGTATCAAGATCTAATGTGGCGTCGATTTGCAGCTGTAACAGCTGTCTGGTAAATACTTAACGTTAGTGGAATTGCAAATGCTAGCTAAGCGGTTATGTGGACATGCTAGATGTGGCTAATACCCCCACCCTCGAAGCAAAGGGACAAAAGGCCCAACATCTATCTGCCGCTGTCAACAACTGCTACGGCAAAACAGAATACGTAATGAAACTCTTATGAAGGGGTGCCTTTGTATAAATTTCTGCATTTGTCAAGAATATTTTAGGTTATATTTAAATGTATCAACGGTGTAGGTTTGGAGCGGTCATCCCACCTCCTACGTCTCTGCTTTTACCACGTCATTGGACCATCCAACACTGCGGAAATACATCGCTAGCTAACAGCTACGAGATTTCTAGCTGACACTTGCTGTCGCTTACCCGTGTCTCCGATAATGATGTATTTGAAGAGATACGCATATGCCATGGCCCCTGGTTTGTTCAGTCAGTTATCTTGACTGTTACACCTTCTTTAAACCGACCGTGTGAAAAAGGTAGCTAACAGCCTCTTAGCCCGTTTTCTCTTTCGGTGCTGAGAAAGGAACAATAAACAGCCAGAGCCTCGACTCTACGTCACACGGCCCGCCCTCATGGGCCACCCTCGCCACGCTACAGTATGATGTATTCAGAGTCTCCTCGGAAATTTTGCAATGATTGTGACGACTCCGCTCTTTATTAAGAGATTCACTTGGTCTGAGACTTTTCAAACTTCAGTCAAACAAACTCTGCATTTGCTAATATAACTCTTATTGTTCTGATTGACATAAATCACCAAATAAATGTAGTCATAAAATGATTGGCAACCTGGTATAAATATAGGGTTGAAATAAAGTTGTAAAATACAGCATACGGCATATATTTGTTTGCCAAAAACAGAAAAAAAGGAAGTTTTTCTATAAAAAGACACACTCAGCCAATAAACGGGCTCTTTCGATTTAAAGACCACTACGATTCGAAAAAGCAAACGCTTTTGCTTTTGGACTGCGCGTTTACCTGAAGCAAGAACAATGCCACTTGAAGGCAGCAAGTAGAAAGCGTTATTACAATAGCAGGCAGGGAGAAAAATTTCCTAAGGGGGTGATTATGAGCCAATAAATCCCTATAGTTTAGAAGTACGGTTTAAACAGCCCAAAATACTGCGAATAATAGTTAAACGTCTGATGGAGCTAAGTTGTAGTTATTAAATGCATCCTGTAGGGAGAAGCAAAGTGCCATATTCTAGAAGAACCTGGCAATACTCGTGTTGTGGGGACAAATGTGTTTACACAGTCACGTTGTGGGAACTCAGCATCCTTATGGGGACAGAAAGCAAGTCCTGAAAAGAAAAACAATTACATATTAGAGTAATGACTTGGTTTTAAAGTTAGAGGGAAATTAGGGTTAGGTTAGGGTCAGGGTAAGGCTTAGGGTTAGACAGGTACTGGTTATGTCACTGTACATATAATGTCCTCTGAAGTGACAGAAATACAACATCTGTATGTGCGTGTGTGTGTGTGTGTGTGGTGTGTACTTGTATGGCCAAGACAAACTGACACAAACAAAGCTTGATTGTGGTTCTGCATTGAATCTATGTAGAGCCTACTTTGTAGGCTACACAAGTAGCCTACGCCATTGTGATCACTGGTGTGTGTCTGTGTTGCCCTGCAATTACATCGCCAAAATGCTAGGTGGTAGTAGGGTTTCTATGCCACTGTGTTGTGTTTCTTTGCCTATTACAAACAATGGTGACTGAAACTGAACAGGTCATGTTAGAGTTCAAAATAACAAATGTTGAATAGCAATTACTTTTACTGAAATTACTGCAACACAAAGCTCCCATACAGACATTCATACATTCCTCACCTTGTGCCTGTGATTAAACACTAGCACTGGCTACGCACTGTGACTGTGAGGTTTTATGACTGAAACCAAATAGTGGGATTGTTAGAATCATAAGAAGCATACAGGCAAGTCAGTTGCTATGCCAAAGTCCTTAGTTCTGACTAGAATGAAAAATTTCCTTAAAACAAGGTTGTGCTGTTCTTTAATCTGATATTAAAGGAAAAATGGTGTAATTGTTATCACTTAATGTGATGCCTCACTTCTATCAGTTGAGTTCAATAGGGGAAACAATTATTCCCTGACTGTTGTCATGAGAGGGCACCAAAACATATTAGATCACTGGTGGCCTGTCTATCTTAGCTGCCTTGTGTTGCTGACCACCTTATAAAATAGTGCCCAGCATGGCTTTGCACTGCACATGTGCTACAACACAACCTCAATGTTTGCAACAGAGGGGATACTGCTTTTGGCTGTTATGTTAGTCTGCTAACTTAAGAACACATTTCTTTCTGCAAATCTGCTGCTGGTTAAAACAGTTGATGCAATAGAGTGCCATAGAGTCCTAAACCTATTAACCAGAGTTTGTATTTTTGCACTTCTGGTTCCTTTCCCCCTGGACTCAATGGGTTTTTCGAATGGGTATTTGATTAGACACCGGAAATAAGGTCTGTGAATAACACCAGGCTAATACATTTTCATGTTTTGTCCTGTGAAATAAAATACGTCAGTATATACCCCGCTTGTGATTTTTAATCCTTTTACATATCTTAAAAAGGTGGCTGCTAACAAGTGGCTAAATGAGACTACGTACAGAGACTGTCTGGGACATTACACATCACCACGCTGAATATGGAGACTAATGTACTCCCTAGCCCACTTTTACAGCCTCTTTATTTTTAAGCAGGGTGGGTTCAGACCATAATACATCCTTGATCATTAACATGATGCTGCATACATAACCTGAGGCAGGTGTTCTGACTAATGCTGCTTTTCCAGTATTGGAACAAGTGGTATACCCCATACTTCACTGTCACTCCACAGTGCAACAATCACCAGTAATGGAAATTGTTTAAGCAGTTTATCAAACAGCTGAACATATGCTGAAAATGTGATGTCTTCATAGCTTTGCCTTTGACTTCACTCAGTGAAGACCACATTTTGCCTCTAAACCAGCAAATGAAGTCTTTGTTTTACCTCTAAACCAGTATATCGTGCTTGTCCTGCTAATGCTTAAAGAACTCAAGGCATGCTTTTCTGTGTTTTCTGACTTATCTACAATGTTACAACTATGAATTACCTTCCTAGGTTTGATCTAAAGCTCAAAAACTGACCTGTACATATGTTCTAGTACTTCTATGCAGAAACAACACGGTTTATACAAGTCTTGCTCACGAGACTTTTTTTCTAACAATATAAAACATTATGTGATTTAAAGATTTCCTTGAATGGGCTAAAAATCCAGGCAGTTGCACATTTATATGAGCTTGCCTGACATCCACGGTGCGACCCTAAAGGTAGAATCGTTCAACTGTGCTTGGTTTGGTGGATATATTTTCCCTTCTGCTGCACTGTGACCAAAGGGTATAGAGAAAAATACAGGGAGTGAGGTTACTGCATGTCCAGGAATGTTCCTGTACAGGAACTAGCTGTTTTATCTGACCAGGTCTAACCTACAAGCAGCTGGCCAGTGAAGCCCCCTGCAGTGGTGAATGATCAGCTCATCTACACTGGATTTCTCAGGAGCACAGTGCCTGTTTGTTTTGACTGCTTGAGGACAGTGTGTCTGCCACATGTAATGTGATGTGGGTTGGAGAGAGGATTCTAATGATCTATGATGTTGTTGGCGCTATGCTACCTGTTGGAATTAATTTCCCTACTTCAGGACTGTATGTGGTCGTCTGGCCTAACAATAGCCTAACAAAAGTTTTTTTTACATTTGGTGATTGTATTTGGGCTTCAAAAATGATAAAAAGAAGTTCTCGCTTGGAAAGATTATCTTGTTGAACAAAATGTGTAAATGTCATAAACAGTTTGTCAAGGAGCTTATTTTATGGAATAATCCAAAAGCCTATGGAAACATCCCACTGGCTTTTTGTTGAGGGAACCAGGGTGATGCTAATTTCCAGGATGGCCTACAAAATGATATCATCCCTAATGCACTCTATAGCAACAACTTGAAGTGTGTCTTAATGCTCACACTCAGCCCTACTCTGTGTGGCTTCAGTGTGTCAAATGTGGATCACAGGCAAAGAAACTACAATCTATTATCTGCTTTTAGATTCCCAGTGTGTTAACAGAGGAGCTCTCAGAGGACAGTTTCCTAATAAAGAATGTGGGGCAATTAACATCAGCTGCCTGGAGGATATGGATTACCAGAGAAAGAAATTAAGAAAGGAAGAACAATAGGGACTATGAACTATTTGTCTCTCAACTTTTGGCTGCAGATACTTTTGTACAAATAACCCAAATAACAAAATACTTGGATGTAACATCCAGAGATTGAATGTTTTTCTGTCTATCTTGAAATCATCATGGTTGAAGAACAGTTTGATCTTTCATTTTCGTTGCCCTATTCTTTCTGTTTTCTTTGACCCAAGGGTGGGTCTGCAACCTTCAACAGAAACACCAGCATGACCTTCCTACCAGCACTCCAACACACATGTACAACACCACTAGCGCAGCCAAACCAGCACAAGGTTAACAGAAAATAACACACAATCAAACCACAACCAAACGACATTAATAATATACATTAATAAATAGACAAAAAAAAATGTTGTCATGCTGGAGGGAGCTTAGAGTAAAGGGGAATGAAAAATATATACTGGTCTATTATTATGTGGAAGAGAGCCAAGGTGAACAAGCACACCTGCAGTCTGCAGAGAGAGAGAAATGAAGACAGAGAGGAAGAGGGAGAGAGATAACAGCAGAGCAAAGTGAGAGAGAGAGGAGGAGGAGGAGCAACAACAGAGTAAGGAGAAATATACAGAAAAGCAGAGCGATCCACACACATCAGTTAGTAGCTTTAAGCTAAAACAGAACAACAGAGGCCAGAAGCAGAAGAAAACAGAAAAGAAATAGGAAGAAAAAAGTGAAAGTTGTTTCTTAGCTGGGAATCCACTCAGTAGACTGCATAAGCTTCAGTTTGTGTCCAAACTAAACCAGTGCAACTGGGAGTCTACTTTCAGAACAGGCTAGTTGTCTACCCACAGTGAACAACTGCACCATGGCTGACAACTTGAATGCGGAGTCTAATTATATCCCGGACAAACATGACCTGCACTGGGGCTACGAGGAAGGTAGGTTGGTCTTCATCAACATGGGAAGGGATGCTTGGAAGAAGGCAACGTTAGCTGTTGTAAAAAGCTCAGGGTTCACATGGGTGTTAAAGGTGTCTGGACCCAAAACTTTAAGCAGCTGATTTTTTAAGAGTGTAGTGGTGTTTTGTGGAGTTCTGCAATGTTGACACATACTGTAGATCTCAGTTTTGTGTTAGGACACTGTAAAAATGTCTGTTAAAAGGAGATGTAGAAACAGAGTTGTATACTCAGGTAACTGTCCATTTTGCTTCTCTGATTCAAATGACTGTAATATTTAGAACCTTTATATTCATCACGGAAGCTTTTAAATGTAGCTCCTTTTCAATGCTTATAATCTGATATTTTCTGGATTGTCCAAGATATTTGCAGAGAATACAGTAGAAAAATATTAAACACATTGTGCCAGTTATGTCATGTGTTTATTATGAGATGAGTTCATTTAGTTTGTGTTGTCTCACTCCCGTCTTCCTTTACTGAGCACCCAGGGATGTACTGTGATGAACTATAAAATTCTTACCATAAGGATACTAAACAATATGTAGTAGTTTGTACACAATTATCAGACACTAATGCATGGCTTGCCAATACCACAAGTGTCCCATGGAAGCCTTGTAACTGTACCATACATTAAGCAGAGGAAAAGCTTGATTAGGGACTTGAAATTGTTTTATTTATTGGTTACTCTTGACACAACACCAGAAAACAGTTTATGCAGGTGAGATTATCCTCTTTGCGGGACACTTGAGATATTAGAAGTTGATTCTCTCTTTATTAGAATGGACTTTAATCAAAGTGGCTTTTCAGCGGATTAAAATGTGAGACAGTGTTAAGGTTTAGCAAGGGTAGGACCCAAGATGCAGACACAACTCAAGGCTTTTAAAGTGTTTATTTTGTTCAGAAAAGACAGGGAGGGGGGTAAAACAAAACGCTCAACCGGACAGCACAAGATCAACAGAAAAATACCAACTGAACAACTAAAACACAGAGCGATTAGGAGTTACATATTGTAACAGAAAAAAACGCAGGCAAGCCATCTTCAGAACACACAGAACAAAATTACAAGAGAGGAGCAATGTCCAGGGAAGACTCACGGAAAATGTTCTAAAACTTACAAGAGTCCCTCAGGGATAACAGAAACAATCAGGTGTCAAACAGGCATGAAGAGCCAGGGGCAGGAGCCGGTGAACAGAGGCAGGAATCCATCAAGTCGGCAACAAGGTATACAAGGGAATAGAACAGGTAGCAGGAGCAACCAGGGCATGATAACCAGACAAACCAGTAACTAAATGAGGGAAGAGAGGAGTATATATAGGCTGGAGACAGGAGATAACAAGAAACAGATGGACGCAATGAATGCTGATTAAACTGGTGGTGAAACTGGAGTAGGTGAGGTGGCAGGAAGCAGGAGGTCCAAAACCAAAAATAAAAGCATAAGAACCAGAAGCAGGTCCATAACCATGACAGATAGAACAGAATGCAAAGAATAATTTATAGTTGTGGCAACAGATAAAACTGTAATAATAAGATATTAATTACTAAATATAACATTATAAAAGGAACCAAAGATTTAGCAAATTCTGTGTCACAGTAATAATTAAGGATTTAAATGGAATTTGTGAAGATGAGTGTCCACTGAGGTGGGGTGGGTGGATATGTGTGAGGTGGTTTCCACTGTCCAGGCAGTTTTCAGAAGAAAGTACCTCCAATGAAAACATTAGACACTGTGGTCTGTGGATTGTTCAGAGAAACATTGTCACACTGTTTGTGAAACAAAGATGTTGCTGCTGAATTTTCCAAATGTCATTTTTTAAAATACAATACAACAAACTAAATTGTGTTGGTGAAATTTCACAGCAGGTACAGTATCTCATACTGAATCTATGTAAATGGCCATGAAGTAGGGAGAAGTGTGTTATCTATTTATTGGTGATTTGGATGAATTAATGTGTCTTGGGTTTGTGTGCCATGTTCAGCCCAGTTTAAAGTCTGCTATCAGTAGTGACAGACATGCTAGAGTCTGAGAATGGCTCAGGCCACGTTGATGCTGCAGTCAGAGTGCTGCCTTTGTGGAATAGGGAGAGACACCTTACAGTGACTCTTTGTCTGTGCAGCAGCAGGCTGGCCTAATCACGTTTCATTTGTTGGCTACAGTGAGTCCTTACTTTACTCAAGGACTGCTTTGCCACCTTTTTTGAAACAAACAGTAATGGATTACTTTACACAATAGGTTACGCAACATTAAGTCAACAGACAACATAATAAAGAGATGTCATCTCTGTAGTATACAACATTTCTACACAATGTCTTGGATTAAATACAGTTACATACATACTGTATGTTTTTCATATTTTATTTCCTACCCACCAAAGCTGTAACCAGGAAATACATCAATGTTAGTACCACTTAATTTAAAAAAATGCATGAAGGCATAAAGTTGCTAATAACTAAGTCAACTTGGTGTGAGAGGGTAGTTTTACTGAATGAATCCCACGCTGCAACCTTTCACTATGTTAATCGTTGTGAATTTCTTGGCCAAATAACAAAACAAATTAAAGCCACAAAACTGTGTGTCAATGCTCTCAGGACCAGCACTAATAAAAGGCAAATGTAAGCTATTGCACCCCCCCAAAAAAAGGCTGGTGAAGATGACCAGAAGATCAGATATAGTGAAGCAAAGAAAGCCACTTCCATACCGTGATTACTGGACTTGATTAACACCTGCCTGGTACAAAAGCACCAGAACTCACAGGTTTATATGTCTGTCAACCAGTGTAGGAGTGAGCAAAAGCAACACACAGGATTCACAACTTCAAAGTTTATTGTGGCTATCAAGTGTCAAAACACAGATGTGTTAGGGCAGTTGCTTTAAAAAAAATAGCTGAGCTAGAAGGGAATATCAGGAGCAGTCAATATCTCATCAGCTTAAGACAGAAGAGGAGAAAAGTCCAGCTCTTACATCCAGTCCACAATAAAGGCAGAGAACCACAGGTCTGTCACACCACCAGTTGCTCGCTTCTCAGCTACTCAGGACACAGCTTTCAGGCTCATCATGTGGCCTTGCTTGCTAGGCCACCCTCGTCTGGCTGGAACACATGCCCAATCAACTAGCCTTAAGAAAGTGACATCTAACACAGACCTAGGCCTGCACAGAGAACACACCCCAAAAAAGAAATGCTCTATAAATCAGTCACACATGGAAAAAATCTGTCTAACTAAAACCACATCTACAATACATAAAGTTGCATATATACAGCAGCTGTCACATGTGCTATTAAATAGCCTGTAGAATGGAGACTGCACCCATACGCACCTGCAATCAGTCCACTCACTGCAATCAATCATTGGCTTGTACCAAGAAATCCCTCCACCAAATAACCACCAATTCACTCACATACTGTACACACACCACAGCAAAACTAAGGCGTTGATACAAATCCACCCTGTTACACTTAACTATTTGATGGGTGTAAATTCCATTTACTGTAAATGGGATGAAAGTGTTTCTCTGCTTCTGCTGGACACGATACAACGAGCAAAACTATGGCCATGTGACAGACAGACAGCATTAGGCTCCTCATTTAACATAGCCCATTGCTTTAACAATCAACTATTTGATTGGTACTAAATTGAGTTTTGTGTGACTGTGGGGGGCAGAGGCAGGAATCCATCAAGTCGGCAACAAGGTATACAAGGGAATAGAACAGGTAGCAGGAGCAACCAGGGCATGATAACCAGACAAACCAGTAACTAAATGAGGGAAGAGAGGAGTATATATAGGCTGGAGACAGGAGATAACAAGAAACAGATGGACGCAATGAATGCTGATTAAACTGGTGGTGAAACTGAAGTAGGTGAGGTGGCAGGAAGCAGGAGGTCCAAAACCAAAAATAAAAGCATAAGAACCAGAAGCAGGTCCATAACCATGACAGATAGAACAGAATGCAAAGAATAATTTATAGTTGTGGCAACAGATAAAACTGTAATAATAAGATATTAATTACTAAATATAACATTATAAAAGGAACCAAAGATTTAGCAAATTCTGTGTCACAGTAATAATTAAGGGTTTAAATGGAATTTGTGAAGATGAGTGTCCACTGAGGTGGGGTGGGTGGATATGTGTGAGGTGGTTTCCACTGTCCAGGCAGTTTTCAGAAGAAAGTACCTCCAATGAAAACATTAGACACTGTGGTCTGTGGATTGTTCAGAGAAACATTGTCACACTGTTTGTGAAACAAAGATGTTGCTGCTGAATTTTCCAAATGTCATTTTTTAAAATACAATACAACAAACTAAATTGTGTTGGTGAAATTTCACAGCAGGTACAGTATCTCATACTGAATCTATGTAAATGGCCATGAAGTAGGGAGAAGTGTGTTATCTATTTATTGGTGATTTGGATGAATTAATGTGTCTTGGGTTTGTGTGCCATGTTCAGCCCAGTTTAAAATCTGCTATCAGTAGTGACAGACATGCTAGAGTCTGAGAATGGCTCAGGCCACGTTGATGCTGCAGTCAGAGTGCTGCCTTTGTGGAATAGGGAGAGACACCTTACAGTGACTCTTTGTCTGTGCAGCAGCAGGCTGGCCTAATCACGTTTCATTTGTTGGCTACAGTGAGTCCTTACTTTACTCAAGGACTGCTTTGCCACCTTTTTTGAAACAAACAGTAATGGATTACTTTACACAATAGGTTACGCAACATTAAGTCAACAGACAACATAATAAAGAGATGTCATCTCTGTAGTATACAACATTTCTACACAATGTCTTGGATTAAATACAGTTACATACATACTGTATGTTTTTCATATTTTATTTCCTACCCACCAAAGCTGTAACCAGGAAATACATCAATGTTAGTACCACTTAATTTAAAAAAATGCATGAAGGCATAAAGTTGCTAATAACTAAGTCAACTTGGTGTGAGAGGGTAGTTTTACTGAATGAATCCCACGCTGCAACCTTTCACTATGTTAA